ATGATAAATATAAAATATAATTTTTATGTTTAAAAATATTAATTTATGTAAATTTTAAATATAATTTATATATTCAAACATTTTATTTATTTAGAGTTATCATGACAGGAAAATTCTCAAGAGAGAGTTCAGGGCAGGCCAGTCGGTGCTACTGTTCAATTCCAGGCTAAAACTTTTCCCTGGAAAACTAAGGTCTAAATGGTTTGGCCCTTTCAGAGGTAAGGAGGTGAAACCCTATGGTGCTATAGAGATTGAAGATCCTGAGGCACAAAGAAACTGGGTTGTGAACGGACAGTGGCTGAAACCCTACTTGGGTGGAGAAGTTGAAAGACTCTGTTGTATCCTTTCTTTCAGAGACCCATGAGGTCTCTTCTAGTCAGGCTCGGGACAGTAAACAAGTGCTTCCTGGGAGGCAACCCAGAGATTTGAACTTTGTTTATGTGTTTCTCATCTCATTCGTGTTTTAGATTCTAGTACCAATTTTAGATGCTTGTTTTATGTGTTTCTGAACTTTGTTTATGATGCTTAGTCGTTTTGTGTTATATGTTGTTTTGTGCTATATGTGTTGTATTGTGCTATATGTGTTTTGTGTTATGTGTTAATTGTGTGAATCATGCTTGAGTGAGTTGATATAGATTAGATCCTTTAGGAGTGTGAGGAGTGGAAAAATTCAAGTGAAATCTTTATAGAGTTGACCACGCCGGGCGCGGCATAGCCACGCCCTGTGCATTTATTGGAACGCGGGGCGCATTAAAAGCTAGATGCTCCAGGGGGTTGCAAGCCCTGTGCGCTCATAAATGCGCCCAGCGCGGTCATCACTAGAAGGTCTCAGCCTTAAATATGCCGGGCGCGTATCTGCCAAGCCCAGCGCATTGAATGCTTGCACGTTTATAACCCTAAACATGCCCGGTGCTACACGGCAGCGCCCAACGTGACACCAGATTAGGGAAACTTTTGAACTTCTTCTGATATAGCACCCGACGCCCAAATTGCGCGCCCAGTGCGACCCTTCAGATACCCCCTTAACCTCTCACGCCCACCCTTCAGTTCTATTGTAATCCTTACGCTTTCAATGATATATATATATATATATATATATATATATATATATGTTGTTCACTCATTGTTGTGTATGTTTCTATTCTCAATGCTTGCTTTGGATTAATCCTCCTTTGCATGATATAGGTTCCATTGGGTGTTGGAAAATAACCATTGAAACTAGCTTTGAAACAAATGCCTAGTGGAAAATGTATCTAGGAATGGAGCTTGGCCCATTAGTAGTCTTAAACCCTAGCCCGTAATGCGGGTGTAGGTATTGGATACTCAAGGAATTGATATTCAATATCCGCACCTAGGCTCTTGCTCTAAGGTATTAGGTTTGAGTAAACTTATGGGTTGACTAAGCAATGTATGTAACAAGAGATAAAAGATTCATTAGTGTGACATTTGGTGATATCTGACCCCACAATTTCACAAAAATCATAATACCATTTCTACCCTTTTCCACTCACAACCAAATACTTTTATATTTTAACATTCCAGTAGTCATACTCTTCAATTCACATTTACATGACAAACTACAAAATTGGAATTATTCTTTAGTCACGAATAGTCAATAAATGCTTATTTTACCTACTAATCCCTGTGGATACGATAATTTTACTACTTGAACGACCGGTATACTTGCCGTGTTTGAGACCGTTGATAGAACAAAAGTGATTTAAAGTGATAACAAAAATAGTTCAACGGAAAATCTCAACAGTGATGCCTTATGGCATGTGACTAGCCTAGGACTTGAGGAGAGGAAAAAATATTTTTGAACTAGAAGAACTCACGTAGAGTCTCTTAAGAGTGGTGCTTGGTTAGGCCATTGACTTTGGGTGAGAATGGTGCTTGGATAAGCCATTGGTTTGGGTGAGTCTCCTCTAAGTCCTTAGCTAGTGTTAGAGCAGGGTATGAGGTTGAGGCTTATTCCCTTAATCAAGTACTAGGGAAGGTTGCGTGGTTCCTAGCGGATAGACAGTGGGCAAAATCCATAAATGACTTAGTAATGCATACCAAGGTCGTGGCATGCCTGTACCCAACTGTACTATATATTCTAGACAGTGGAACCAAATTTCTAAGTGTGTAAGTGACATCATCCGAGTAAACTCGAGTGAGAATTAATATCCTAGTTTGTTGTGACCGAGGCGCATTGGGCGTGAAAATGGTTGGGGTGGTTTTGGTAGGATGAGATGTCACTTATATTGCTTGGTTGTTAGGGGGATCTCCTAGGTGAAATGCGTAACGACGCATTAGGTGATTGATATGCATTGATATCTATCATGAGTTACATTTATTGCATGATTATTGTATGATAGAGTGCATTGTTTGACTCTATGAGTATGTTGGGTGATATGAAGATTGTATAACATAGATGTGGACCATTTTGTTTGTATGATAGATTTTTGAACTCTAGCTTACCCTTCTGTTTCCATGTAGATGGATTGTGATGATCTTGTATGGGAGCAGGTTAGGGCTAGCTTGGAGCCGTGGTGACTGCTAAGGAGGTGTGGAATTTTGGTCATGATGCCATATTGACATAGGATGTATTAGTTATAGGGCTTGATTGGCACCAGAACATTACCATAGTTTTTGGATGACTGTATATATTTATATACATATATTTTTTGGGGTGGTTTGTATATATAAACAAGGGTTTTATTTATTTTACTCGTATATCCATATATGCATTATTATTCAATCAATGGTTATCCTAGTCAACTAGTACAGTTACATGATTCATAGGGTATAAAGGCCATGACATGTTACAATATATAATTTTATTTATTTTATACTACTCATCCCCATATAAAAGAATTTTTATTTTAATTTACTTGGCCTTTTTATAAAATTCACTTCACATTGACATTTGGATTAATTAACTTTTTTACTAATATACCCTTATTTATCATATAACCAATAAATAATAAATTCTATTAGTTAACATGATAACTCTATTTTCTCTTTTGAAAAATTGAAGATAAGTAGCACATTAGCTAATTGTGTAAAAAAATTAAGTGAAAAGGAATATGTAAAACTATCAAACAGGTTAAATCAACTTAACCTAACCTAATCCACACAAGTCATATGATGATTTTTGAGTTAGTTTAATCTGACCTGAGTTACATTAAGGCTAATTTTTTCAACCCAATTTTGAATTAAAAACAAAAAAACAACTTATTTACATGAAAAATGGATGATGAAAAAGTTCTCCTTGATATTGGATGAGATTAAGTGTCTCATGATGATGAACTATGTAGAGATGAGTTTGATGTACTTGCTTACTTTACATATTTACCAAAGAGATTATACAAAGTCTCGTTCACCTTATTCACTTTTTGTCCATATATATCATATGGATAAAGCCTAATATAATAAAAGTGTACAAAATTCAACTTTTTCATAGCGTAAAAAACAAATACAAGATTGATGCAATATTCACTCCAACACTTATCATGTTTTTTTTTCTTTTTAAATTTTTGATTGGGTCAACATAGGTAAAGTCTACTAGCTAACTTAGTCCAAGGCCATTTGGCCCGTCGAACTAAACGAGTCAAGTCAAAATGATTTATTTTTATTTAAGTCATTATTTCTATGGCTCAATTTAACCATATTTATGACTTGGTCAGATAGAACCAAAATTGACAACCTTAGAGGTGACAAGTCTCAACAATTGTAAGGATAATTTTAGAAAAATAATACAAACAATTAACAAATTTAATTTTACCAATTCAATTAGCTAAATATCTTAGTTTGTGTGAATATTAGTCAAAATGGTCTTATACATTTGGAGAAAAATAGAAATAATAATAAATATATTTTTTTAATAATACACGAATCAAAATTATAATAATAATAAGAATAATTTTAGAATAGTATAAAAAAGATAATATAATAATAAAAAAATATTATTATTATATTAATTAAAATTATTTAAATAAATCATTTTGTTAATTAAACTTATAAGTTTCTTTTAATGATTATTATTTTGATTTAAATATATTTTAATTCTTTGTAATGTAATAATAATATTAATAATATAAGTATTAATTTACAAATGATATTATTAAGGCTTAAATATGTTTTTAATTCCTCAAATTTAGGATAAATTTGTTTTTTATCCCACAAATTTAAAATTGTTATTTTTAGTCCTTGTAATTTCAAAAAATCTTATTTTAGTTTTTATATTCAAATTTTGTTAAGAAATGTATAAAATATTATTACATAAAATTTACATATTAGAGCATCTGCAATGGGGGTTGCTTATAAGCAACCCTCATTGCAGATGCTCTAAGTATTCCTGTTAGTGAAAATATCATATTAAATCTGATTAATATTGCATAACCATGTTAATTAGTCACTTTGACTAAAACAAAATTTTTGAAAATTATAGGAATTAAAAACAACAGTTTTAAATTTGAGCCAAAAATAAATTTGTCTTAAGTTTGAGATATTTAAAATATATTTAAACCTATTATTAATATTAATGAGGGAGAGAGATAGTACAACATGAGAGAGAGGATGGAGAGGGAGAAAAAGTGAAAATGGAATGAAAGGATCAAAGAGAGAGTGGGGAGATGAGAGAAAGAAGAGAGAGAGAGAATAAGAGAGAAAGGATAAGCAATGAGAGAGAGAGAGAGACAGGAGAGAAGAGTGAGATATAAAGAAGTGATAAGAGATATAGATTAGAGAAAAAAAAATAAATATAAATATAAAGACATTTCAATTTTTTTATATTTTTGAAAATTTAAAGTTTACGATTTGAAATAACCAAAATACTTCACAAATTACTAAAAAAATTATTTTTAATTTTTAATTTTAACAAAATATTTATCCTAAAACATTTTTAATCCATCAATAAATAAATAAATAAATAAATTACTTTTTTAAAATCTCTCGCCCAAACGCAATGTTAGAAAGATGAGATTCATACCATAACTTCAAAGACAAATCTACTACTTAAGAGAGTGTATACACCCCCCTAAAACATGAAACCCCTCATTGATATCGGTTGAATATGTACTTTTGAAACAAAATGGAAATAATCCAAATCAACCACTAATTAAGGTTTAAATTCGAAGTTGAACATTCAAAGAGTCCAACAAATGCAAATTAAAATTAGTCATTGTATACGTGAACCTAAACACATTAATCTTTCTAAACTTCCTCTATTCAGCATCTCCACCATCTTTCGAATTGCCAACTGAGATCTTTCCATTAGCCTGTTCCAAATCCTCATCCTTGTTCACTTCAGTATCAGTATTTTCTTCCAATGGCTTGTAAGTGTAACACCAAACACAAATTCCAAAGTAGATAATATTCAAAACCTGAATCCCACTAACAAGCAAGTAATAGTAGTCCAATCTACCCCTATTGAGGTTCCTATCAGGCAACCAATTCCTTTCCTCGCCACTGTACTTATGCACAAGCGTTACAACCAGTGTCCCAGCATAGCTCCCAAGGGCTATCACAATACAATACAAAGCAGTGGCACTGCTTCTCATGCTTTCTGGTGATTGATCATAGAGAAACTCGAAAAGTCCAACAGACATGAACACATCAGCCAAACCATGCAGACAATACTGAGGTACCAACCAGAACACACTTATGGGAATAGTGGCATTTGGATCGTCCAACAAGTGGTACTTGGCAGCAACTGATTTTCTCCTGACTTCAACTGGTGCTGAAACTAGTGTGGCTATAGTGTTGATCACGAAGCCTATTCCCATTCTTTGTATGCACGTGATTCCAGAAGGGTTGTTTGTGAATCTTCGGACAAAGGGGACAAAGAGACGTTCATAGAGGATAACTCCCGACATCATGGTTAGGACGCTGAAGATGGACATGGTGGCTGGAGAGACTTGGAATGAGTGAGTGAGGTGTCGATCCATTGTGCGGGCTTGTTGGATTACGAAGCTAGGAAGGTGTGATGAAGCGGCTATGAGTAAAATTCCTGATGAGGAAATTGGAAGGGTTCTTATGATGGATTTTAGCTCCTCCACTCTGTGAACAGTGGCCACTTTCCATAGGTTTGGTCGTGCGTTTGGGTCTCTAGCGGCCTCCTCTCCTGTCACAATTGCAGCCTTGTCTAACCATCTGTGGATATATTGTTCATTAACCATAAGTCAAGTGATGGTTCTTGTACAAATACACTGACTACTATGTTATCAATATCAAGTTATTTCATATATTGGGTCAGTGAAGCCACTTAGTTCCTGTTAATTTAGAAATACATGCTATCATTGTGAAAGACTAGGATAAGAGCATATTCACAGGAATTTTTTTTAATCTTATGAAAATTGAATTTGATATAAAGAAGTTTACAACACTCTACTCAACTACTGTATGATTAAAATGGGATGTATGAGTGTAACAAACAAATCGAAAGAAAAAATAAAGAAAAAAAATATATGATAAATGATGTGACACAAATTAAAGACAAAAATAAAGAGAAAAGTAAGATGGAAATGGAATGAAAGAGAAAGTGAATGTATTCTAATAATTTTTCTTCATACATATATAAAACCAATTAGGTAAATGAAATTTAATATTGAAAGCTTATCTTGGAAAAAACACTAACAACACATTTTTTTTTAATATATTATTTATTATTAATTAGTTAAAATTCAATAAAATTACAAAATTTAAAATTTTAACTTTTATTCGATAAATATCACTTATTTTAAAATTTTTAAATAAATTTTAACCAATAATATAATAAAAAAATATTAAAAAAGTGTGTTGCTAAACCTTCAAATTAGAGCTTCATTTTAGCAAATTAACCAAAGGTGGAATACATTGCAATAATAATCATACCCGGCCAATTATTAGTAGTCCAAATTTTTGGATTGAATAAGAAGAACCAGATATTTGGCTTACTTATATTGATTTGTGTGTAAAAGCCTTCCTTCCAAACAAATAGCAGCATCGAGGTCCCTATTTTGGTACAAAAACTTGGGATCGTTGGGCAAAGTCTCGTTCCTCTTCTTTATAGCAGCCACAACCACTTGGGCCAAACGAACCAAAGGGCTCCCTTCAGGTTTCTCGGTCTTATAGAGTGGTGAGCCCAACACAAAGGCAATGATGGATACGAACATGACAATAGTTGGTATGCCAAAGCCCCAACCCCAACCCGTGTTGTCTTGAATGTAAACCACAATGGTCAAAGCACTTAGAGAAGCCAACCCCAAGCTGAAAAAGTACCAATTGAAGAGGTTCCATTTCCTAGATGCCACACCCTTTTTGGTCATGTCAAATTGGTCCCCTAAGAAGGGCACAACACAGGGCCTGATGCCACCTGATCCAAGAGATGTGAGGATGAGAGAGATGTAGAGTATACTCAATTGTGAAGATGTGGCTTCTTGGCAATTCACTTGTTTTGGGCATGGTGCGGGGCGAAAATGGGGGAGTATAGCTGATACTGTTAAACTCACCAATCCCTATATCAAGCAAGAGAATGGCAAAACAATTAGCATTAGTTTGATACCCTATGCTAAAGTGGAAAGTTCCAAGAATTCAAACATGTACATCAAATTTAAGAATTTTTAAATCCAGATTTTTACAAAAGAAAGCATCAAATATAGAAGATAAACAAGAAGTAGAAACCTTGTTGATGTTAGTGCAAGACAATAAAGAATTTCATTTAGATGTTTGATGTGGATAAATGTTGTAGCAACTACAGGGGTGGAAGTAAGTCTTTCTTTTCTTATTTAAATGAAGATTTTTGTTCTTTTATGAGTTTTGGTGATTGATCCTTAGTTGATGTAATGGGAAAGGGTAAAGTTAAAATCATTATATATGTTATTTAGTTGAAGAGTAATTTGTTATTTGGTGGTCAATTGTTGGAAAAATATTATGAAATAGCTAATCAGAAAGATGTTAGTGAGATTTATATCGTAGGTAAAATTTTAATTATAATTGGAAAACAACATCAATAATATGACGATAATGTTTTTAAATTTTGTCTTTGGTGTTCACTATCAATATAATCTCTCTCTCTCTCATGGGGATGGAAAGTATTTCTACAATTTTGGAGGATAACACTGGTCAAAGTGGCGATCAACACAATTCTTTTAATAGGAATGTTAAGAGAAAAATACCATAGGGGACATTGACTCTAGTTGAGATGTCAGAAGGTGTTGGTCAAGAGAAAGTGTATGAATGACTTTATAATAACCTTAAGGACACACAATATAGAACACTTGGCTTGAAAAGGAAGGATATATATTTGTTGTTGGTACTAATATTAGTGTTGTAATGCATATGACAGACTTATATATAAGTAACTTGAAATACTAAATAAATGGTATTAGATGAATTCTCCTTGAAATGTGTGATGACATTAACCTTAAGAACTTATTTACTGTATACGTGTAAGCTCCTCAAGATACAACATAATTGTCTCATTAAGGAACAAAATTGACAAATAAATAATTTAGTAGAGAACCCAAAATAGATAAGAGAGAGATGAAGTGGTTTTGGATATGTAAAACAGTAAGACAGAGACCTCTATTTATAGAGTCACAGAGTACGTGTGAAGCTCAAAAATAGTCTAAAAATTAAGGGAGGAATTTGACTAAACTTATCTAAATATGACTATTAGAGAATAAAATACTTGATCTGGAAAAGGTTGAACAAAATTTTGAAGATCCAGTCAACTCTTAAAATGAAATCATATTTTGAATAGGGTTTCGTTTCGATTAATTAAAATAATTTAATGCTTTCAAATTTCATTTTTTACATACACAAAGATGTCAAATTGACAGATACACATTTTAATAGGTTAACGAGATCCATTCTCATGGACACAAGCCCAATATCCATTAATTGTCTCTTTGAAAGCTAAAATGTACTAATGGCTGAATTATAGGGTATCCTAACTGCTCTTGGTGTTGCTTAGGAGGCTGGTTATAGAAGGTTTGGGTGGAGAACGATTCACGCATTGCGATAGACTTGATCATTACAGGAGTGCATGTCAATCATCCTTTTAAGATTATGGTGGACATTATTCATTATTGGCTTAATAAGGATTGACAAGTAAAAGTTACACATGCGTTTAGAGAAACAAACATGGTTGCTGACTATTTGGCTAGTATAACTCATTATCGTCATTTTGGTTTACATGTTAGACAGGGTCACCTATAATTGGGTGCATTTACTTTCCTAGACAAGATGAAATGGGGTTATCCATTCACCTAAGTTTTGTCCTTGATAACACTAAAATGAGTTCAAATAGATTATTTCCATTAATGATTGAGACTTGAGACTTGAGAGTGATCAATCTTGATTAGATTAATAGGCTATAATAATTGAATGAGATTGTATATATGTGGAGAAAAAGAGAAGAGAAGAAAGCATGCCAGTTGATAGATAAGAGAAGCAACAGTAATGGTCCAAAAGCGGCCAGCGAAGGACTCAGAAATGATAGCACCAAGAAGAGGGGTGAAGCTAGCCGTTCCACCAAATATTGTGAGAATGTTTGAGGCAGATACCAGTGGCATGTTCAGCACTTGTGTCAGGTAACTTATCAAGTTACCATTGAAACCAGCTACTGCAAATCTATCGCAGAATTCATTTGCTGCATACATACACACACATCGAATCCAACCAGTCAAAATTAACCTTAATTCATAAAGATGATTAAACACAACAGTGGACACTACAGGATACTGACTTATGTGGGGCATCCGATATATGTAACATGAACATTATGCATGAAAATAGTGAATAAAAAAAAACACTATGCACGAAATTACTGAAATATTAGAAATACACATTCTTTTGTAACATATTGCTTGAAAATTATTAAACTTGTCATAAATTTATAAAAAATCACATTAAAAGTGATCAGTCAGATTCTTCAACAGTAAGTAGTTAATAATTCATGATCAGAAAGAGACTTACTTATAAATTACTAATAATATGATTATATGGTCAATAATTTAATGATCAGTTGAATTCTCTAACATACTAATAATATGATTATAAAAGAATTCAATTAACAATTAATACAACTAAATTACTAGTATTTTGTGGTTGTAAGGAGAGACCTACTAAAAGTAATTAGTAAAATTGTTTAACAAAAATATATATTATTGACAAAGTTCGTATTTCTTTGTACCATTAACATAATTATAAAAAAATATTATATATTTTTTATCACAGGATTACAAAAGTCATTTACTTAGGAAACAGTAATTCGAGTTGTGGCTCTTAAACCTAAATATTTAACCCGCAAAAACTGCAGTTACATGTGCAGTGAGTGAAGCATTGGTGTAAAGTGATATCATGTGCAGTATGAATATTACAGGTAAGATTTGCTTAGATCGCAATTCACTTTCATTACTGCCGATTACTGTTAGACTTAGAAATAATAATTTAACTAGTATTTTAACTGTGTAATTTACAAAATAAATATTTATATATATAATTAAAAATTATAATATTTTAAATATATAAATTATATTATTTTTAAAATTTGTAATAAATTTTTTAAGACGTATAAATTTTATTTTAAATTTATAATAAATAATTTTTATTGTCACACAAGTTATTTAAAAAATAAAATTTAATTTAGAAACAAAACCGAAAGTATAAGAGATTAAGAAAAATATTTTAAAAATTCTCATTAAATAATGATTTTTAAAAATATTTTCGTTTAAAATTATTATTCTAATTTATATATGGAGAAAATATTACATAGTATAAATTGAGTAGCCATTCTGTAATATAATTAAACACGATAATTTTAAAATAAAATAATAGAAAAATTTAAAAAAAAAAGACAAAAAAAGTGAATGTACGTAGGCAAAACATTATTTATACAGATAGCATATAATAAAACTATGCCTGGCATAAAATTTATATTTAATAAAATGAATATATTAAATACAATATAAATATTTTGATTTTTAAAAAAATAGCATAATTGATAATAACGTTAAATAGTAAAGCTCAGTAAACTGTTTTCCAACAAAAATCATAAATATTAAATATCAGACAAACATTTATAATTATAAGATACAAGGTTAGTTTATTTAAAATCATAAAATAATGTGGTTAAAAGAATGATTTAAAAAAATATTTTTTTAAAAAGTATATGATTTATCTTTTACCAAAAAAAAATTTTAAAAAGAAAAAGATAAACACATAAAAAAAAGTACAAAGAAAAATTACTTCATAAAAAATTTAGACAAACAGACCATAATATTATAAAGGATTAGTAAACTAATTAATAAAGTGACGATAATAATATCTAATAATAGACATTAAAGTAACTTTAAAGAGTTTCCTTCATATGTATACACGTATTGTTAATGAATCAAAATTAATTATTGGTACAAAATTTAAAGTATTTATTTTAAAAAATTGATAAATGTTTTGAATCTTATAAAATTAGTTAGTTTTGATTTTTAAATTTAGAACTATTATTTTGTCTTTATTGTTATGTAATTATCATTTTTAATTATTTATTTGTTTATTAAAAGGTTTAAGAATCATTTCAGATGTTATCAACAATTATTAGTGACATCATATTAGTGTGTGATATTTATAATTTTTTTAATAATTTTTTAAAATAAATTTTATTTAACTACCTTAAAATCATAATTAGAGATCAACAATAATATATAATTTCAGGTTTTAGAGGAATAAAAATATTAAAAAAATTATAAAATCAAAATTTACTGACTTTATAAGGGTTAAAAATATTTCAAAAAAAAAATTTAATGTTTACAAATTTTAAAAAATAAAAAAATAATTTTTTTTTTATAGAAACTAAAATCAAAACTCACTCATATTACAAAAATTAACAACAATATTTAAGTATTTTAAAAACTAACAAACTTATGATAGTAATTTATGATAAAATGACAATATATATAGATAATCGTTTTTACACTATTAATTTAAAGACTATTTACGCATACATTTTAATTAAAATAAAAGTTGCGAATGAACCAAATAAATAAATAAATATAAAGTTGGGATTAAACTTAGATAAATATTTTAGTTATTTTTAATATTTAAAAAGCTAAGTATATTAAAACTAATTTTAGGAGACTTAAAAATAATTAATCATGAATTTCAATTAAAAAATTGAAATATATAATATAGGCTATACAAGACGAAGGAAGATTGATTAGTCAAAAGATTGAATCACTTTGAGTTAATTAAGTGACAACTTGACTTATTAAGAAATGGATAAATAACTGGCACACGAAGTCTTTCCTACTAATTAAATGATCATGGATTGAGAAAGGAGCTAACATCCACTTGATAGATACTAATCTACTACAAATCATTCAAAAACAAAAAAGTCTTTAAAGTAGTCCTACGAAGATCAAGATGAAATTATATTTTTTTGGGTGAATGACAAGGAAAATAATATTATACTTTGCACGAACTGCATTCTAATAGCTACAAATTTTTTAACTTATAAAAAAATGATTTAGTGAATAAACCATTATAACTATTGATTCAAAAATTAATAATTCTATATATATTATGAGTTATGACAATGTTAATAGTTAATTTGTAATAATTGTGAGGTAATTATTATAATTAAGAAATGAAGGTAATGGATGGACTGACCAAGGATGAAAGGCAATGTTCGGATGCCACCACGACGTTGCTGCCGTTTCCTCTTTGCCTCGCCACTGCTCATGCTCCTCCCTGTCTCCATATCTGCGCTACTCATCGATATGTCTCTAACTCTTCTATTTGCATTCAACTATATATATACACATTATGCCATATATATAAATGTATATGTTATGTTGATATGGGTAAAACACTAATAATATAATCATAATAATAATAATAACGAAAGCAATGTGACGTCTGTAGCATGTGCATTATAGCTAGTGTGTCCCGTTTGTTGTTTTTTTTTTTTTTCTTCTTATATAATAAAACCTTCAAATCCTCATTTCTTACACAAAACATGCACAAATTGAATCAATTAAACTGTCCCAAATCTTTTTCTATTTAAATTAAATTCAACAGCTGGTTATCATATAAAGAGGTATCAATTTAGTTAAAGAAATCCATATGTTTAATTTTCATGTAATTTCATATCAGTGTAAGTAATTTAACGTTATTAACCAATTTAATATTATGGGTTACATATAACTTTTAAATTAATTATTTTATAAGTTAACAAACTTATTATGCATTACAAATTGATAAGGTAATGGATAGGTTTGTAAAATGACAACTCCAAAATTATAAAATTTATGTGAAATTACACTTATTTCCACCATGACTAACTGCTACATCATCTTTCATTCTTTCTGATAGAAATTAGCTCCAGCGGGCACAATAACATTTATGACAAGAAGTAGTTAGAAATTAAACAATTAATAAAGATACTTTCGAATTTATATTTTTCTAATACAAATTTACCTGTTTTTATTTGCAAATTGTAGCTCTCTTGGTTGAGTGTACAAAATTTTAAAAGCTCAGGAATCTTTTAACCATCTTAATTCAAGGTGACAACTCATAGTTTAGGAATTAAATAATTCATGGTTGACTCTTTTCTTTGACTTATCGATATCATCATGCGAGTGCATGCAAGTTGTTAGAAAACAAAAGCTGAATATATATGTTTTTGTTACAGATCATACTAATAGTGCTGTGCTGGTGTTGATAATTGAGATGGCTAAATTTTCACGTCAACTTGCTTCTCTTACTCATCTCTATTAACAATAAATAATGAATAAGGGAGCTAAAGACTATTAGATAGACACTATAAAAAATATCCACTGATGCAAAAATCATACAATCATGCAGGTTACTCTCTGGCACTTCTACCAGAGTTGATCGATTAATCTTCTCTAATGTTTTAAGATAGATGCATTTATTTTTCACTGCTAAGTTTTACTCCACCCTCAGTCCGACCAACAAATTGATTGAACTAGATAAAGAGAATAAAAAACAGAAAAACATTATTGATTGTACGAGAAGGTGAAGGAAAATTGAGGAGAATATGATTATGTATATTTTTTATTTTATTTTACTAAGTATTTAGATAAATTTCTTTATAAGTACACTTTTAAGAGAAAAAATAAGAAAGAAAAATAAAATAAGTTTACTTATAAATTAAAACTAATTTATAAATATATATACAAGTAAGAAATAAGTTTTTGAAAATTTTCATAAATTATTTTTTTTCTTATTAATTTTTCTAATAATTTTATGAAGAAATTTATAGGACAAAATACAGCGAGCTAAGTGATTTTGAATTAAACTTGTTCGCATTAGGTAACAATGGCCCAATTAACCATACATCCAGGTACCAATAAAGTCCAAACAGGCTAGGGGAGTTGCCGTAAAAAAAATCAAAACCCCCCTTCTCCTTTTGCTCTTAACAACCTCTATCAGTTTTTTTTTTCTTTTACAAAATATTATTTCGAAATATATTTCCAAAAAGTTTGACTCAACCGTCAAATGTATAGAAACTAGTTTCATTATGTAAAAATTTGCATTATTATTTTTGTTATAAAAAAGTTGCATTACAATAACCTGTAATCTATAAAAAAAATATATTACGAAAACTAGTTTCTGTATAAATTTTATATTACCAAAAGTTATTGTTTCATAAAATATGCAAAAAGTGAAAGAAAAATTCATGATGGCTTAAGAATTAAAATGAGATACATACAGTGACGAATTTAAAAATTTTAGATAGCGAGGATAATATTTATTCATATATTTGTAGTATTAAAAATTTTACATATAATTTTTAAAAGCATAAATATATATCACAATCATTTTTTACAAGCTTTTATATCTAGGATTACAATTAAAGATGAAAATAAATTAGGTCAAACTAGATTTTATCATAATTTAGTAAGTTTAAACCTAATTTTCTTTAAAAATATATATTCTAAGTATGACTTGTTTATTTATCATAGACATTTTTTTAGGGGTCATAGACATTTTTTTTTAATTTTTTGTTAGAACTACAATCATAAAGACCTACTTTATAATAATTTAACACTATTAAAATATAAAAATAAATATGTTAAATTTTATAAAAATCAAGTTTAATTTATTTATGATATAAACATGTTTTTAATATCTAATATATATTTTTAGATAATAATTTATTTTAAAATATATTTTATAATAATAATTCTAAATGTGGAACACAAATCTTTCAATTTTTCTTATTTTGATTTTTTTAATCAATATATACAATTTTATTATTTTGATTTTTTTAATCAACATATACAATGAATAGAAAATACAAAAGGTAAATATGCATACAACAAATTTTATTTTATCAAAAATTAATTTTTTTAATATATTACATTATATATGTGAGTATTAAAATATATATATTATAATTAAACATATGTATGTATATATATATATATTATTATAATATAATTTTTATTTTTTAAAAAATATATTTTTTTTTTATAAAAAAAATATGTATGGGTA